GTGGTTTAAAGATTTGATTCGAACTTGAGGCTGCAGCTTTGCCAAGTAAGAACAGAAGATTGGCAAGCAAATTGAATTTGGCAGTCGACGATGGCAATAACCGGATTCCCAGGCTGGCGCATATAAATCAGGCAACAGGCAGGCGGGCAGCAGAGCCTTCGGCTAGGGCATCGGCTTGAGCATGAACTTGGTTTCTGGGTCTCGATGCGACTTCGTCTGGCTAGTGCATCGAGTGCACCTTGACAAAATGATGGCCATAAATCGGTGTGACAGGCCGTACAGCGAGCAACGTTGACATTTATAAATTTACGAGCCAGTGCAAGTGGATGCCGTGCAACAGATTTGCTCGAAATTGGTGCCGAGCTGCCAGAAGGCGTGTTTGGCCAGCAAACAGCCATATGGCGGCATCCCTATGTGTGACACTTTTGCCAGATGTCTGTTTGGCACGTGTTATGGTCGACATTGCACATAATGCTCTTAATAAGTTGCTCATGTGAGTGTCGAGCTGAAAAAATGAATGTCTGAAATAAATATGAACGTAGCGACAATTTCGTCAGCCAGTCAGCTGAATACAAGCTCGAACTGAGTAAACAATTTTATAAACATCATCATCGGCAGCCACAGCCGCAGCCACAGACCCAGCGGACCCGGACCAGGACCCGGAAACGGAAACAAGTCATAAAACTGCAGATGCCAACAAAAAATAACAGGACGCCAAATCCAACAGCATTTGCAACGCTCTACAGTTCGCGCATAGTGGAGCGTAAGCTTTGTATAAATCAAAGAGAAAAACTGCAAAGGGAAATACCCTAATACCTAAAACTATGAATGCCTTGAATTATATCAAACTAGTTGTGTGACATTCACAGCAGAAAATTAAAAATACATATTAAAGTTTGTTTCTTGGAGTCGAACCTAGCTTCAGCAATGACAGAAGCACATGATTTGTATGCTTAATTTATTCACAATGTGTTTGTTTGCTTGCTTTTTATTTTTAAATGTATGCAAGTCCAATTTCAAGTCTGCCTCTGGCTGCTGCGCTTATTCACTATTGTTTCTAGTTGGCTTTTATAACATTCTTATTCTTCTAGCTCAGAGACTTTGATGAGACAATTTGCATATAGATGCGCACATTTATTTGTGTATATGTGCCCACCGTGCAACAATTGGGGCAGACACACATAGTCGAATCGTTGGAGCAATGCTAAAGTATTTTTAAAGCACACACACTCACACAGACAGACAGGCACACACTTCAGCTGCTCACAGAGACATTTGCACATTCGCAGAGTTTCGCATTTTCACATATCCACATTTCCACATTTTCACAATCTGGCAGCACTCACGTTATGCTAAGACTTGCCTAATTCGCATTGAAAATAAGGATTTGCCTTGTATTATCTGAGAGGTATTGTTACGGGCTTGGCATTTGCCTTGGCTTAGGCACAGATGCAGGTCCTGGCCAGAAGCTTCAGCCACTCGGCTCAGCTGCTGTATCTGTATATATATCTCTACTTGAATGTGTATGTGTGTATGCTTGTGTGCGTGTGCTTTGAAGCACTTCAATTTATGCTCCCAGCATATATATATTCTAAATTTATGTATTCACTATGTATCCAGCTAGAGAGCGTCGAGAGCACCTACATTAATACATAATTTGTTTGGCCTTTGTTTATAAAACTTTATGCCCATGCAGCAGCTAAACTAACATTGTAGTTCAAGTTTACGAGTGGGGCGCCAACCCTTGGCTGGTGTCGGTGGTGCTGAAAGCGCTTGAAGCTAAGTAAATCAAGTTCATCAATTGATAAGCATTTGTGACAGGTGTCAGAGCAAATTCTCTAAGCTGCTGTTAACAGGCAGCAAATTGCCAACCGTCTCAGCCATGTGACTGGGCCTGGTTCTGTGCTGGCGGGGTCGGTGCTGTACGGTTAGGTAACCAAAACCGATCATCGACATTTGCTGGGTCACAGCTATTTAATTTTTGAGGGGATTCAACGAAATCACAAAGGGCCTTCGAGCACAATGTTGGCAACCCATTTGCTCTTGAGTCAATTTTGGTCTGAAAATCGGGCTGCTTCTTGCTGCAGCTCTTGCTTTATGGAACGACTTAACTACACAAGTGAGTGCCGCTCCATAACCGGTAATTTCCGCCCCAAATGTGTGTGTGTGTGTCTATACATATTTAAACTTTTGAACCTTTGGTGCGACCATTGTTACAACTTTCCAGTGGTGACTCGCCAGCGCTCGTCTGCTGGGTCGATGACTCTTTAGCTTCTTATGACTTGTATAATAAACAACTTAAAATGCCAAAGGCGAGAGTGCTCTGCCAAAAAATACCCTGGAAGCTGGCCCCACATGGGTTTGCAAGAGTAAGTTTCGTTTGCGATAATTCTTGAAGACAGACAACCCGATAAAGCGATTGCTTATGCAGATCAAGAAGCTTGTCATTTTTTTCCAGCAAATACTGTATGTGGTAAAAATAATTGAAATACATTTCATCCATTTCATCGACTACTTAGCAGAGACAGGAGAGTCCATGTGTAATATAAGACTCACATAAATGGTTATGTTAGAAATCGTTTTTCATTTATGTTAAACCTGAAATAAACTTCATATAAGCTTGATACAACATACATCTATGCCAAATCGTCATTCGGACTGGATATATATAGGGTTTAATAGACCGAAGTTGTCGTTTTCTGTCTTGGGCATACACTTGCACAACTTTATCATAACCATTTGCTGCGCATTTGAATTGCTGCTAGGTATAGAAAGGGTATAGGAAATCGGTAATGGGCGCTTCTGTGCGGTGCCATACTTAATGGCGCGCCAAATGGCACTTATTTTAAATTATAAATGCGTTCCTCACAAGCGCTTATGTGGAATATCACAATGCATAAGTAATAGGAAGTATTGTCTATAAAAGACTGGCCATAAAAATGAAATCAAATGGCATAAAAATGACATGCTAGATTCTTAAATAGTCTCTGCAGTCAGTCGTTTAAAGCAAATTGATTATGTGTTTATTTTAATGGATGCATGTCAAAGATTTCAAATAAACTTTTATGCAAATTTACATAGATACATTATTAATGCATGTGACTCACGTTAACAGCACAGACAGGCTGATGCCCTACTGAGTTCTTGGACCTTGCTGGCAAGAAAGTGGCTTTTGAGTGATTGTTTGTTAAAAAATTTAAAATTTTGTTTGCTTAAGCCTTTTTGGGCATTACTCGGCAAGCTCTTTACCGATAAAGGACAATATTAACATGGATAATATATCAAGTATGTTTGGTAGTAAATACAAAAGTAATTTCATTTTGTTAGCTAGTGTAATATGTAGAAGCGGGTTGTTCTGGAAATAGCTATAAAGGCAGTCTGCCAAAATTTATTTGAAGTAATTATAGTTTAATGATAACTTAAACTTAAAAAAAACGAGAAGGAAGGGCTATCTTCGGCACGGCGCAGATCTAATACCCTTGCAGACCCAACCTTTTCATAATGCTCATAGTGCTTAGCCAGTATCTAAGAAGTACCGGGCAAATAGTAAATGCCGAGTTTGGTCAAAAAAGGTTTTTAATCAAAAACCTGGTTTTCGACCGATCGTTCCTATGGCAGCTATATGATATAGTGGTCCGATGTTGATAGGATTTTGCATATATATGAGGAGCATAGTAAAACTAATAAATGCCGAGCTTGGTCAAGACATCTTGATTACAAAAATGTTTTTTTCATACAAAAACTTAATTTTCGACCGATCGTTCCTATGGCAGCTATATGATATAGTGGTCCCATCCAGCTGGTTTTGACAGAAAAAGGGACTTCTGCAAAGTTTCATTAAGATAGCTTTAAAATTGAGAGACTAGTTCGCATAGAAACAGACAGACAGACACGACTATATCGACTCGGCTGTTGATGCTGATCAAGAATATATATGCTTTATGGGGTCTGAGATGTCTCCTTCTATGCGTTACACATTTCACGACAAAATTATAATACCCTCTGCAAGGGTATAAAAACATAAAAGCTTAAATAAATATGTTAATTAATACAAGGTATTAGTCGTATTAAATTCTTTAGATTTTTTTGACGTATTTTGTAATTACTCTTAACCCTTTAAAGAAATGTATTTATGCATATATATATAAGTTCATTTTATTTTCAAAATATAATTAGCTGGCTCATGGTATTTAATTTAACTATTTTACATTATCTATGCACAAACACCTTTGGCTTATCATATTTGGAAAACGACACCCACATCAAATTACTTAAGAGCCCAGATTTACGATTGTGTGTGTGTATATGTGCTCGTATGTATATGTTTGGATGCGTATGTTATGTGATTAGTTGATTAGACAGTTCATTTCATAGAAGCGTTTCGCCAAATGTGTCACCTGTGCACATTGAGATAAGCTGGACATTAACCCATTTCATTAAGTAGCAAATATTTTAACCCAGCACATTTGGGGTCTTCATTTAAAGCCAGAGGCACACACGCCTTGTTGCATTGAGGCCACTAGCATTGGGAATAGCCAGTCGCAAAAACACGACACACACGCACACACGCAAACGAGCGCACGCACACCATCTATTTAAGAGGCTGCTCTATGTAGGGCATCTGAAAACTTTGAGATTGCAGCCAGTTTTCAGAAAACTTCCCACATAGACATACTCTGTACAGGGCTGAGTGAGTCGCGTCTACTTATTCGTTTTAATTCCAAAATCAGTTCCTGTTCCAGTTGCAATTTCATTTCCATTGCATTTTGCTACGCTTTATTTTCGCACTTGACTGGCATAATGATATGTACATGCGTGTAGGTATATGTATGTATACATGTTTATGCATGTATGTATGTATGCAGTATGTTGATTCATAAAAGCGGACAGACGCACCTAATGACAGCGGCCACATGGGACACTTGCAGGGCAAAGGTTAAAGTGCCGAAATACTTCGGAATGCAGTGGCACTTCAAGCGGACTCGGGTCAGCCGACTTACCTTGAGCGAACTGGATGAGCTTGCAGAGGGTCTCGCCAAAGATAAAGTTGCGCAGCAGCGTTCCGACCAGGGTGACGGGCATGCAGAGCACGCCCAGCAATATGTCCGAGATGGCCAGATTGAGCAGAAAAACATTGGTAATGGTGCGCATGCGGCGATTCTGCACCAGGGTGAGCACCACCAGCAGATTTCCCACGACGGCGCAAAGCAGAATGATGCTGTAGCAGGGTATCACCCAGATGGGCACATCAGCGATCACCCGCGACATGCTACGGTTAGACGGCACCAAGGGCGTGGGCATTACCGTAGCGGATGCAGTATCCGATGCCATTGTTGCCTCCGATGCCAGCGATCCGGACACAGATCGCGCCGGTGATGCTGGGGTCGGCTCCGGATCCAGCTCATTGCTATAAATGTAGAGATCACTACCGTTGAGCCCATCGCCGCTGCCGCTGCCACTTCCGCTGCCGTAGATCTCCTCAGCGGCATAGCTGGCATTGAGCTGCAGTGCAGCATTCGTGGCCAGCGGCGCGAGCGCAGACAGCAGCTGACGGTAATTGTAAATGGCGCCAATCGTGAGGCTGTCTCTAAATGCACTATCAGCGGCACTGGCACTCGCGGTAACTCGAAAAAAATATATGGATATGGAGCCAAAGCAGTTGCTAGCAACACACCAACTGGTTAATCAGCAGGTAGCCGTGCCGTGTGCCGCCGCCTCGTAGACTCCGTCGTGCACTGAATGCTGGGATCCGGCAACAGTTCCTCGAGTGCTGTTTGGACCATCAGTTGCGGCAACAAATGTCAAACTCACCACAGTCAGCAACATCGATTAACAACATGCCCACTCTTTGGCAACATGTTGCCAGAGGACTTGTTGCTGCTGCTGCTGCGGTTGCTGCTGCTGCCTTTCATAGCCCCCACTCACCAATTTGCTAATGCGAGTGGCCGAAAGAGGCTCTTGACTTTGTTTTCAGCTCAATTAAAATTTAAATGTAAAACAAATATTTGCTATGCTTATTAAAATCGATCTAAGTAATGCGATGGTATTATCAGCCAAAGATTGAGAAGTTCGCATGCTCTAGGCATTGGCTTTGGAATTTGTAGGAGACAGGCTAAGAACTATCGAAAATTAATATCTTAAGATATTAAAATATGCTAAATGATCGATAAACCTGTTTAAAATATAATTCAGAAATATGCAGCATAAGTAAGCCAAGCTTTTTCCCATTTTTGTTAACTTTAAGCAAACCTATAAGTCCGCGTTTCGGGTAGATTTCAGAGCTTACCAAAGGATGGAGCTTAAAAATAAAGTAATTAGGTTCTTACACGGATCAGGTTTTTATTCATTCAAAAAATATTAACAAATATAAGATAACATGCCGGAGTGCAACGAGCAGATACCCTGCACCGAACATCGATCAGGTAACCAGGAACTCACACAGACTTGCTTCAAGAACTCTAATTGAATCGATTTGGTTCTGTAGTTCTGGCTGCTGGTAGAGATATTTTCGAAATTAATGAAATGATTAATTGCCGCCATGTTTGACAATCAGCCGGAATTTACATAACTAAGTGAGCTGACAAAATTTGCATGCATTGCCGCATTGGAGCGTGTTCCGACGTCGATGTCGACGTCGATGTCGGAGTCGGCGCAGTGTCCTCCTTCGGAGAGCTTGTCGCGCAACAACATTATTATAATCACTGGCTGACGGAGAAAAGGACAGCACATTTGTCAAGTTAATTAGCGTACCGGAGACGGCTTCCACTTGTTTACACCTTTTGCTCATTATTTAACCGCCGTTTTGCTTTGTTTGCCCGCTGACACCTTTTCGGCGGCTGTCCGCCTCTTTCCTCTTTCCTCTTCCCTCTGCCGTCTGCTTCATGGTCTTTTTTATATAATTTTTTTTGGGTTCATAAATCAAGTGGCAACTTTAAACCACAAATATGAGGCTGAACATTTTGCACATCATCTTCATCCAGCCAGAATATTTGCTGTCCTTTTTGTTTTTCGAAGAGTCACTCAAGTTATTTTGGACATTTAGGCAAAAGTTTCTGTTTATTGTTTTTTTTTTTTTTCGGTGCTGTTCTGGGCTGTTCTGTTACATCTTTCTTTCTTTTGCCATCATTTCGGAAAAGTGACTAATTCAATTAAACTTTTGGAAGGGCCTAAAAAGGCAAAGCTTGTCCGGGCACATAAATAATGCCGTTGCATTAATTAAACTTGGCCGAATCCGGCCAAATTCTAGCTCATAGCTTTGCCAAGTTAGCCCACTTGGTTGTCCGGCCAACGCGAACTTCATTTGTTTATTTACTTTGTGTTTTAATTAATTTTAACTATTGTATTTGCATTTGTTGCTTTCTTACCGCTGCTGGGGCCATTTCTTGCCATTATTGTTATTGTTTTGCCCAGTGGCTCAATTTCCATCAATAGAACACTCGATGTGGATTAAAGAAAATATGCGCGGAAAGAATAATATATATTTGGACCACCTAAATGCAGAGCAATCTCTTGGAACATGTTTTGCTCATTTGTAGCAACAGTTTAAGCTTTGCCAGCTTTTCATATGCCAAATATGGCATAATTAATAGAATAGAATTCAGCTTGAATATTTTCTCGAGGGTATCCAAGTGTCGAGCATAGCCTTGGGAATGGCCCTTATTTAATGCTAATGCAAATAAAGTCAGCGTTAATTTAATTTCACATCATTAAATGGCATCATCAGCCAATGGAGATCAAACGATAAACATACATTTCGTAGAGCTATGAAATAAATTGAAAACAAAAAAAAATTAATTCATTTCTAGAAATGGGGGAAATTTTAGGTAGATGAATAGCATAATTAATTGGGAATAAGGCTAACTGTAAACCAGAATATTAGACCTTAAGACACGCTGTAATCAGAGTTAAAAATATATAAATAAGAGATCATCAAGATGGGCCGATGATGAAAAAATAGTTTTATGGCTCCCAGCAGTTACCTGCCTTTAGGTTCGGCTCGTGAGCACGGTCTTGCCTGAACCTAGTTTTTGTTTTAAACCAAGACTTGTGATATATATTTATGAAATAATCTAATTTGTTATATCTGATTGAATATTGCAAGCGCAAAATGATTTCATATAGAAGTTGCGGGCTACATTTGAGTTCTTACCAAAATTGGCATCTATCCAATATAGCTTTAAGTCTTTCTTTCTTTTGCATTTAATTTTTTTTTCATTTAGCAAAATAAATGGCTGAGTTGAAAGGTTGTAAAATCATAAAGCAAATCTCGCCATAAAAGTTGAGCAATCGATGAGTACGAGCTGAAGTTATGATGTAGTTAATAGCCCGCTGACTTAAAATTAAAGTTTAACTTATATTGGCTTCTGGAGAAGCTGACAATTGGAGCTCAGGTGACAACATATCGCGTTGCAGAAAGTATCGACTCGGGACTATCGACTATCGAAGCTAAAGAGGCGCTGCACTAACCATAGCGCTTCAGGCCTACCATACACAGCTTTATTTTGGCTATAAATTGGCAGTAAGACGAACTTTAATTTCGCAACCGGCTATGACTGCACTAAAGCTGCTCCATCAACACACCCACACGCACACAAATACACACGCAGCAAATCCCACAACAGCACCTGTTTACAGTCAGATTATAAACATAATCGCAAATGCTTCATTTTGCTGAGAGGCCAAAGAGCCCACGAGCCTTGAGTTCCGCAAATGGATATAAAATTACGCACGCAGTTGAGAAGAGGGCGTGGGGAAAGTAAGAGTTCTTAGGTTGGAAAATTGAAAGTTGTTAATGTTCGGTGGCAAGCGCCAAGAATTTGAGGATTCCGGCCACTTAAGAACTATGCAGCTCGCATTGCTATCATAATGGTGTTGCCTGCGCTGGGCCATAAAGTCATTAGGCATTCATTTTGTACAACAGGTGAGCAGATGCCAGGCATGCAAGCATACAGCTTTTAGGTCGGCTCGATGTTGACCGAGAGGAGCCCGCAGTCATGGCATCTGCTCCATGTACTTTTCGTACAGCTTGTATTTATAGAGCGCAGTCTCGACGCAGCACGTTGGTGCTTTGAATCACCTTTGGAGCCGCCGTCTGGGTTCAGGGCTTTTGGCTTGGCCTTAGTTTATTGACGTGAAAGCAAAATTCTTTTTGGGTTTCACTGCAAATTTCTTAGTGGGCCCTTCCGAAAAACTTTTATTTGAGTTTGCACTGTGATTTTGTTTGTGGCACTTCTTTTCTTTGTTTGCAGCTCCTGGCAACATTTTATGACCTTTTATTATTATTGTTGTTGCTGCTGTTGTTCCTTTTGCTTGCTTAAGCTCAAATTATGCTGCAAAGTGCAGTGGTAAATTTGCTCCCCATTATGTTTTGCTTGGAGGCAAATGCGCTAAATACATAAATCGAAACAACTCAACAACAATAAAAAACAAGTAAGAGGTTCTAGTCGGGAGCTCCCGACTAGGAGATACCCTGAACCCTCTTCTTCCAACATCAAATGCATATATATATTCTATTTTTGCAGCTATATGTCAAGTTTGGTGACTCTAGCTCTTATTATTTACCAAAATTGCCCAAAAAACAGGATATCGATATCGATTTTATCGATTGCTTGGAAACGGAGTAAGTTATCGATTATCGGAAACAAACTCGATCTGCGCTCGATCTAGCTCTTATAGGTTCTGAGATCCTTGCGTTCATACATACGGACGGACGGAGGGACGGACGGACGGATGGACAGACAGACGGACATGGCTAGATCGACTCGGCTATTGATGCTGATCAAAAATATATATACTTTATGGGGTCGGAGATGCATACATTTGGCTTTCGCACAAATACAATATACCCTTATACCCATTTTTAATGGGTTCAGGGTATAAAAACAGAGAATCGAGAATCCATGCAGAAAGCTTAAAACAAAGGCAAAAATCAGAAAATCCTCGTCGCTCCCTTATTTTACTGACCGCCCACTTAGTTAAGTTCATTAAGTGCCAGCCAGAAGTCTGTTGTCTGTTGGCTGTTGACTTGGAGTTTCGGGTGTACCAGAGATATGCTTAATATGTTAAATGCATTGAAAATGTTAGTTGTTCTTGGAAGTATCTAAAATTTCATTCAATTTCATTTTTTTACACATTAATTGTATTTAAAATACTCTTAATTATATTCTTGATCAGCTTACAGGCATGCCCGTCTGTCATTCTGTCTTTATTTGAATAATGGATAGTTCGCGTCTATTTGCCAGAAATCGAAAGGATCGATACACTCTGGTCTTTTATTGTTTAAATATTAATTATAACAATGTTATTTGTTTTTCTTTTATTTAATGTCTCGT